TAAAAGAAAAGTGGTGGTGATCAGGGATACTGATTAGTGACAGTAAAGTAAATATATTTCTATTTTGTAAAATTTTTTATAACATTTGTTTACTATTTTTTTTATCACACTTTGACCAGAGCAATACAGTGTTACCATAGTAACATTGTGCTACTACTAGGGAAGTGATCAGGATTTTTTTTACACATTATGATTGCTTATACCAATGAATTTCACTGATAAAAGCAATCATTTTTACTTTATAAAATTGATTCAATGTGTAATATTGTGATTAGATATGATTTTCCACAGGTAATCACATGTGCAGATGGGCTGTGATTGGCCCTGTCTGTACCATGCGATCACTGTGACCAACCACAGCTAGCAACACAAATTGTACACCATGAATGGCATGAATCAAAGCTATTCATTGTTTACAATTGCCATGTGATCTGCTGTGATTAGTCACAGCATTCACATGGTACTGGCAGCGGCGGTACCACAGCCAGTGGACATGTGCCGTCCACCTGGAAAGATGAAAGTCCCATCCGGACTGTCATTTGACAGTAGGCAGGGCAAGAAGTGGATTAAACATCCTTAGTGGTCTTGCTAGGGACATACAGCTCCAGCTAGCTGCTGGTTTCATCTTTGTAAACCATGATTGCTTATTTTTACACCACTGGCTGCTATCCCAATTGTCTTGGTATATGCTTTTTAGCATTTTTGATGCTTAATTTTGATGTAAGTTATTTTCTGCTGTTGTGTCATTTATAACTACTTTTGGTACACAAGCCCTTCATGCTTTTTCCTTTCTCTAGAGAGTGCTGGATCATCCCTGCAAACATATTACTGTCTTTTTTATAGACTGTGAAAAAGGTACCCAATTTTTATTGCAAAATACAATCTGCTATCTGTCCCTGATAAATTGTGGCCTATCCAATCAAGGCTTCAAAAGTGTAGTGCAAATCTATATGTTGTTTATCTTTTCAAGTAAAAAAAAAAAAGCATCTGGTGGTGGTGGTGAAATTATTTGAAATGTAACCTCAAGTTTTTCATTCCCAGATGCAATATGCCTATTACTATTTCTTGAATACTCTGTTCTGAAATTTCGGCCTGACCCAAAAGGCCTCATTGCTGTGGTGCAAATCAGTAACATCTTAAATTGTGGGGAATAAGGCACTCATTTTTCATTCCAGATTCAATCTGCTTTCTCTCTCCCACAAAATCTGTGATGTATGCAAAAATGCTTAAAAGGTGTGCTTCAAATATTAAAATTTTTTAATCTTCAGTCTAACCCTCAGTTTACACTAGTGCCATTTAGCAGGCCAAGGCATGGCAGCCTATTCATTTGATTGAGCTGTTGTGCCTTGCAAAAAGCAGTGTGTTTCCCAGTGCGGGTGCGATTTCCAGTGCAGGCAGCATGTCATTAAGAGCCCACAGGTGTTTTGTGTGCGGGTGGTTGCAGTTGCGGGACGAAGTATGGGTCCCACAGAGGCTTCCGCCCGCACTAGTGTGAACAGAGCATTATAAAACAGACAATAGTTTATTTTTATACTTCAAATCTGTCTGCTTTCTGCCTTTGAAATAGACTATCAAAAAGGCCTGAAAAACTCATCAGCAGTGTATATCAGTCTTGTGACTTATATCAGTGTCCAGTCGAGCACTGATTGAAGCTTGTAGGAGGAGTTTTCATTCTTATCTGACTTTCCTATGAGACTGCATGACTCCTGACCCTCTGTCTGGACAGTGCTGATTGGCTCTGTGCCGACCACATGCACCCTACCCCCCAAAAAAAAACTCTAGCAATGCACATCAAACTGAGCATGTGCAGAGTGACTCGTAGGGCTCTGTACTATGAGCAGATGGATTGGGGACAGTAGAAGGGGAGGATCAGAGAAGACAGGATAAAACAGCCTTTTTACACAGTGCGGATTATTAACCCCTTAGGTTCCACAGTGAATATAACAAGCATGATTTACTGCATATACAGACTGATTTTACTGCTGTTGTGGGTTTACTAAAATTTTAAGTCTCAGTACAAAAAGGCCAATGCTATAAATTTAGTCCAAATGAAATATGTCTGTTCTCTTCCTCTGTTGTTGCATGTAGCAGAAACAGGATTACATTTACTAAAACTGGAGCATGCAAAATCTGGTACAGTTCAATTTCCAGGTTTTATTACCAAAGCTTAATCGAACAAGCTAAAGTTAAAAGCTGATTGGCTATCATGCACAGCTGCATCAGATTCTGAATGCACCAGTTTTAGTAAATCTCCCCCATACTGTCCAGCAAATATGCTGAGTTTTTTCTGAATTGCAGCTCTGAAAAAGCACACTCATATTTTTACTTCATGATAATGCCTAGTCCTTCCATCTTCCACTGATAAAATGCATACATGGTGTGTAGCATGTGTTAAATATTTCAAGCTCCTGATTCTGAAACAATAAATTGATTTTTTTCACAATAAATTATGCCTCATCTCGCCCTCTAACATAGTGCCTAAGTGTGAATGCATGCATAATGTGCAGCAACCCTATACAATATTTACAGCTGCTGCTGCATTGCTGCTCTTTGCCCCATTCCAACTGCTTACATATTCTGGAGCCACTGTGCCATATATTTGTTTGTTGTGTTTGAAACTGTAATGTCTTTATTCAGCCTTAAGCTCTGCTTGTTTGGCTCCTCCCCCCTCCACTAACATATTTGGCACCTTTTGGGGGGCAGCGGGTATTTGGTTTTGACAGGTACCCACTCCCACGTCCAACTCAGTTCGCCACGGCGAAGTGAGCCAGAACTTTGGCCCCCTCCTTTCTCTCGCAGTCTCCGGGGTACCTTCACATGTCCCAGAAGACTTCCGGACCAATCAGGATGCGAAGCGCGACTTGCACATGTACAGTGGGCGCCCAGCTATGAAGCCGCAAGCTGTCACAGTCCCGTGCCCACAGTCAAGATGCCGGCGTCGTGGAGAGAAGGAGAGAAGGGACAGCGTGGGTGAGCACATCGCTGGACCCTGGGACAGCAAAGTGTGTGTTTATTAAAAGTCAGCAGCTACAGTTTTTGTAGCTGCTGACTTTTAGTAAACACAAAAACGGCTGGAACTCTGCTTGAATTGTCTCATTTTTTGAAAGTGGGTTTGTGGTTTGAGATTTTTTAGTGCACTCTGGGTTGACATTTTATTAAACTTTGTACACAATACAGTGTGGTACTGAAAAGAATATCATAAACTATGCTATGTGACTTGTTTTGACACTTTTTGGCAATTTGTATGAAGATGATAGTGTTAATTTTTTTCAAAGCTAATTTATTTTTCATTGCATGTGCATATTGACTAGGAACCCATCAGGCAGTGGGTATTACTTCTAATAATGGTGGGAAAGGCAGAGTGGAGTCTTGGATTAAAAATATTCCCCAGACAGAACTTAAAACTTCTACTGACTGACTACTGACAATTTGTATTCCTACAGAGGTATAGTCTATGTTTGCTAAATTCTGGCCTGTATGCAATCATCATTAGCAATAATTGCTCTGGCCAATTATTTTCAACCCTAAGCCGTATCTATTTATTTTTATAAAAATGGAGGAAGGGGAGAAACTACTGAAGAAATGACTAATTTTGTTATTGATCAATGTGGCTGCAGTTAGTTTTAAATCATTTCATCTCTCCCTTCTCCATTGTATATCCCAGCTCAATGCTGCCTCTGTGTCACCATATATTAACACCCTTTTCTCCCTTGTCCTGCACATCTGAATATTAGCTCCCTTTATCTCCATTCTGACACTGTATTTGACCTGCACACCTCCTCCTCTGCCATGGTGTCCCCTGGCAGGTGATGCAGGCCCTCCCAAGATGCAGAATCTAAGTGGCATTTGGTTCTCACCAGAGAACATCCAGAGCAGCAAGATGAAAACCATACAAGGCGAAGAAGGTGGGAGCATGCGAGATATTGTTACATACAAATTGTGCCATGTTACTGTATTATCAGAATCCCTGCCTGTTTTTCCAGAAGTCCTACTCTCAGAATCCCTGCCAGGACTTACAGAAACCCTGTCCTCAAGCACCAGTTGTACCTAGGCCTCTCAGAACAGTTAAAAGACAAGCTTGCTCAAGTTAGAATCCCAAACACATTAAATGAGCTTACTCAGCCACCTTTCAACTGTCAACTCAGAGAGTGGAAACAGTAAAACATGGAAGCCTACCATTGTCCTGGGGTTACCTACTTACATCTGCGTGAGGCAACAATGACTCCAGCATCCTCCCTACACACAATATTGATAAAGCTGGGCCTGGGCTGACCAGCTTTGACCCCTGAAGAGTCCCTCTGGTTGCAACAAGCCAATTTCTGTATCTACTGTAGGGCTCTGAGTTATTTACTTCAGAATTGATGGTATGGAAATCGCCATCACCTCATTCACTCATACTTCATTATCCCTGTCTTTGCAAGTATTCAAAAAGACCACTGAAGTTAAAGCTATTACTGACTCAAGTACATACGCCTGCTTTTGGGACTTGTCCCACAGATCACTTAGATCTGCCACTCTGCCCCAAGACTCATGCTGTATCCATTCCAATCAACTGACGATTCCATCATTAAAATCAGGTCCATTCCAGAAGAAACCTATCCAATCCAGATTGCTTCCATGAGCATTATGCAGCTTGTCCATCACATGTGCTAGTGGAGTGTATAGACGCAGTGCAGTCTTTGGTCAGACAGGCTATGTGTAAGTGGAGTTATGTTCAACCCATACTACAGTCCTGGGCAGACTTGTTACACCCAGCCTCAGTCAGCTTGCAACAAACCAGTCCTGCTTCTCATCATTCCTCTGCTCAAAGCTCTCTTCCTGCACTCCCGACAGCACCCCCAATGACAGCCCAGTATACCCTGCTAGCTACCACATGTCAGTCCCCTGCTCCCACTCGCTGCACCTATCCTGCCTTTAACCCTGTAAAGAAGTCCTCTGTAGCAACTGCTCCCTCCTTTGTTCCATCCCCCAGCTCTTCTCTGCCTACAGCTGCTCTATCCGTTTACAAACCTGCGCTTACTTACAGTGCTCCAGTAACTAAAACCAGGAAAAGGCGAAAATTCTTTCCAACCAGTACCATCCTGCCAGTATCCAAACCGGTCAGCCTGCCATCTGAGAGACCCCGCCTTCCGTGGTTCAGCCTGGTGCCCCGGCGCCCGCAATTCAGCCTGATACCCTGATGCCCGATGACCCAGTGTATGCTACCCGGCCTGATGTTCCTACCCAGCCTGATGTTCCTACCCAGCCTGATGATCTAGTGCCCGCTATCCAGCCTGATGACCCAATGCGGCCTGATGATCCTATCCAGCTTGATGATCTAGTGCAGCGTTTTTCAACCACTGTGGTGTGCCGCGAGATATTGTCTGGCGTGCTGTGGGAAAAAAATTGCAATTTCATCCATAACATGTGGCCTCGGCTCACAAATAGACCAATCATTAGAACAGCAATGGGCAAACTACGGCCCGCGGGCCGTATACGGCCCGGCGGACCTTTTAATCCGGCCCGCAGAGCGTGATACTGTCAGGATGATCTGTCCCCCTCGACGTATCTGCGCATGTGCCGGAGATCGCCGATCGGCTGCTAATGCCTGAAACTAGCACATGCGCAGATACGTCGAGGGGGACAGATCCTCATAGGAGACAGATTTTCATGCTACACCGGAACGGCGAGAGGAACGCGCGGAGCAAAGGTAAGTGAATTGACACAGGGGGGCTTGGGGACTTAATATGGGGATGAATTAATATGGGGGATGAATTAATATGGGGGATGAATTAATATGGGGGATGAATTACTATAGGGGGGATGAATTACTATAGGGGGGATGAATTACTATAGGGGGATGAATTACTATAGGGGATGAATTACTATAGGGGATGAATTACTATACTATATACTACAGGTAAATTTTTTTAACATTTTCTAATGGTGGTGTGCCTCGTGATTTTTTTCATGAAAAAAGTGTGCCTTTGCACAAAGAAGGTTGAAAAAACACTGATCTAGTGTACGCTACCCAGCCTGATGACCCGATCCAGCTTGATGATCTGGTATACGCTACCCAGCCTGATGACCCGATCCGGCCTGATGACCCGATCCGGCCTGATCCAGCCTGATGACCTGGTGTTCGTGATCCAGTGACAACCCGAGCCAGCCTGACAACCCGATCCAGCCCGACGACCCGATCCAGCCCGACGACCCGATCCAGCCTGACGACCCGATCCAGCCTGACCCCGATCCAGCCTGACGACCCGATCCAGCAGCGACCCGATCCAGCCTGACCCCGATCCAGCCTGACGACCTGGTCCGGCCTGGTACCTCGGTGCCCACTGTCGAGCCAGTTGACTCGGTGCCCGCTGTCGTGCCAGATGACTCAGAGCCCGATGCCGAGCTTGGTGACCCGGTGCCCGCTGTCGTACCAGGCGACTCGGAGCCCGCTGTCGAGCTTGGTGACTCTGTGCCCGCTGTCATGCCAGGTGACTCGGAGCCCGCTGTAGAGCTTGGTGACTCGGAGCCCGCTGTCGTGCTTGGTGACTCGGTGCCCGCTGTCGTGCCAGTTGACTTGGTGCCCGCTGTCGTGCCAGTTGACTCGGTGCCCGCTGTCGTGCCAGTTGACTCGGTGCCCGCTGTCGTGCTTGGCGACTCGGTGCCCGCTGTCGTACCAGGTGACTCGGTGCCCGCTGTCGAGCTTGGCGACTCGGTGCCCGCTGTCATGCCCAGGTGACTCGGAGCCCGCTGTCGAGCTTGGTGACTCGGTGCCCGCTGTCATGTCGAGCTCGGAGCCCACTGTCGAGCTTGGTGACTCGGTGCCCGCTGTCGAGCTTGGTGACCCGGTGCCCGCTGTCATGCCAGGTGACTCGGAGCCCCGCTGTCGAGCTTGGCGACTCGGTGCCCGCTGTCGAGCTTGGCGACTCGGTGCCCGCTGTCGAGCTTGGCGACTCGGTGCCCGCTGTCGAGCTTGGCGACTCGGTGCCCGCTGTCGAGCTTGGCGACTCGGTGCCCGCTGTCGAGCTTGGCGACTCGGTGCCCGCTGTCGAGCTTGGCGACTCGGTGCCCGCTGTCGAGCTTGGTGACCCGGAGCTGCCCGGTGCCCGCTGTCATGCCAGGTGACTCGGAGCCCGCTGTAGAGCTTGGTGACTCGGTGCCCGCTGTCGAGCTTAGTGACTCGGTGCCCGCTGTCGTGCCAGTTGACTTGATGCCCGCTGTCGAGCTTGGCGACTCAGTGCCCGCTGTCGAGCTTGGTGACCCGGTGCCCGCTGTCATGCCAGGTGACTCGGAGCCCACTGTAGAGCTTGGTGACTCGGTGCCCGCTGTCGAGCTTAGTGACTCGGTGCCCGCTGTCGTGCCAGTTGACTTGATGCCCTGTCGAGCTTGGCGACTCGAGCCCGCTGTCGAGCTTGGCGACTCGGTGCCCGCTGTCGAGCTTGGCGACTCGGTGCCCCGCTGTCGAGCTTGGCGACTCGGTGCCCGCTGTCGAGCTTGGCGACTCGGTGCCCGCTGTCGAGCTTGGCGACTCGGTGCCCGCTGTCGTGCCAGATGACTCAGAGCCCGTCGAGCTGTCGAGCTTGGGTGACTCGGTGCCCGCTGTCGTGCCAGGTGACTCGGTGCCCGCTGTCGTGCCAGGTGACTCGGTGCCCGCTGTCGTGCCAGGTGACTCGGTGCCCGCTGTCGTGCCAGGTGACTCGGTGCCCGATGCCGAGCTTGGTGACCCGGTGCCCGCTGTTGTACCAGGTGACTCGGAGCCCGCTGTCGAGCTTGGTGACTCTGTGCCCGTTGTCGTGCCTGGTGACTCGGTGCCCACTGTCGTGCCTGGTGACTCGGTGCCCGCTGTCGTGCCTGGTGACTCGGTGCCCGCTGTCGTGCCTGGTGACTCGGTGCCCGCTGTCGTGCCTGGTGACTCGGTGCCCGCTGTCGTGCCAGGTGACTCGGTGCCCGCTGTCGAGCTTGGTGACTCGTGTCCGTTGTCATGCCAGGTGACTCGGAGCCCGCTCTCGAGCTTGGTGACTCGGTGCCCGTTGTCGTGCCAGTTGACTCGGTGCCCACTGTCAAGCTTGGTGACTCGGTGCCCGCTGTTCTGCCAGATGACTCGGTGCCCGCTGTCGAGCTTGATGCCTGCTGCTCCGCCTGATGGCCCGGTGCCTGCTGCTCCGCCTGATGGCATGGTGCCTGCTGCTCCGCCTGATGGCCCGGTCCCTGCTGCTGCTCCGCCTGATGGCCCGGTCCCTGCTGCTCCGCCTGATGGCCCGGTGCCTGCTGCTCCGCCTGATGGCCCGGTGCCTGCTGCCCAGCCTGACGTGCCTCCGGCCGCTGCCCAGCCTGACGTGCCCGGCCGCTGCCCAGCCTGACGTGCCTCCGGCCGCTGCCCAGCCTGACGTGCCTCCGGCCGCTGCCCAGCCTGACGTGCCTCCGGCCGCTGCCCAGCCTGACGTGCCTCCGGCCGCTGCCCAGCCTGACGTGCCTCCGGCCGCTGCCCAGCCTGACGTGCCTCCGGCCTCCGGCCGCTGCCTGCCCAGCCTGATGTGCCAGCCCCTGATATCAGCCAGTTACCTGACCCAGGCGGTGGAACATTTTGCCCACTAAGGACTGTTATTTAATCATTTCTGAAGCCTGCTGTTTCCCTTTGTCAGTCCACACATCTCTGGTCATACCTGGATCCCTGACATAGGGTCTCCAGTCCATTTCTAACTTCAGGAGCTCTGGTGAATTCTGTCATTTAAAATTCATACCTCACATGAACCAACATCACCTGTTGGGGCACCATAGCAGTGAATCGGGAGAAATGGGGCCCAATCGTCCAGTGTTGCAGAGGAGAAGAATCTGAGGTGTTGCTCCAAAGTTTGGTGTTCCCTTTCAGCTTGACCATCTGTCTGTGGGTTGTACCCTAATGAAAAGAAAGCACGTGCATGCCAAAGTCTTGAAGTGAATAAGACTAGAATACTAACTCTTGCTAGTTCATCTTTTAACTGTTCCAAAAGATTTAAGCAGAACTGCTGCTTGCAGTGTCATTCGATTGAGTGTTCATACTGCACCTATGAAAGGTGGAGATATACGCGATGAGTGCTCAGCCCTGACAAAAGTTTCCTAGAGCAGACTCTTTGGTGGCATTCTAACAAAGGTTGTCGTAAAGTTCGGTCACTGCCTCAAACAGAGAGAAAACTGTAAAAAATTTAATTTTCTTTTTCCATGAGACAAAAAGCCTAGGCTTGAGGCTCCTCCTGACAGAGGATTCATCAAGCGGGGAACTGTCTCCAGTAGCAAGGTTGCATGGCTGTGCCTTACTATTATGGCACCTCCTGGCTGAAGACACAGGCACACTTCAGGTACTAAATTGAGGTGGAAGCTGGTGTTCACCAGATCTTCTGATGTTGGAATTGGGTGGGAACTCTAGTGTTCCCAGTTTACTTTATTGCACATTTTTATCATGTCAAGGCCCTCAGGACTGCCACACCAAGGCAGGAACTGAGAGGCCTTGATAGAAAAAATGTTCACAGGGCTTCAGATAAGAGAGTAAGTAAATCTGGGCAGAGGTACAGGCACAGAGCAAATAAGAACATAGTCAGGTCCAAGCAGAGGTCTAGCCAGGCAGCAAGCAAGAGAGCAGGTAAGTCGCAGCTGGCAACAAACAGGCAACTGGCAGGCAAGTATTATGGCTCTTTAGCTCTCAGGTACAACATTGCAGCTGGCAACAAAACACTGCACCATCCACTTCAAAGACTGGAGCTTAAAGAGGAGTTCCACCCAAAAGGGGAAGTTCCGCTTTAAAGATTGGTCCCCCGATCCCCATTAAGGATTGGCATCTTTGGGGAGCGGGGGGGGGGGAAAACGGGTACCCGAATTTGACAGGTACCCGCTCCCACTTCAGCTGCGATCACCTAGGCGATCAGAAGCGGAAGTTGTCCTCCTACCCTCCCTCCCTGAAGTCTTGCGGGGCACGGGACAGGTCCCAGAAGACAACAAGGCCATTCAGGAAGCGCAGCACTACTCGCGCATGCACAGTGGGCACCCAGCTGTGAAGCCGCAAGCTGTCACAGCCAGGTGCCCACACTGAAGATACCAGCACCTGGAATAAACTATGGCCGGTGAAACTGGCTGCGGCGGGGGCAAAGCGGGATCATGGGACAGGGGAGTGTCTGTTTTTTAAAAGTCAGCAGCTACAGTTTTTGTAGCTGCTGACTTTTATTTTTTTACAGAGTGAGTGAAACTCCAATTTAAATACCTATCTGGCCAGAGGGCACACCCAGCATTGTTACTGGAAACACTTGAAGTCCTGGCAGGGACTCTGTGACTAACATTGAAAGTCCTGGCAGAGATTCAGTGAGTATCACTGGAAGTCCTGGCAGGGCTTCTGCAAGCACCAGTGGACATTCTGGCATGAATTCTGGAAGTCCTGTCAGGGACTGTGTATGAAATGTACATTTAATATACAGTGAGGAACAGAAGTATTTGAACACCCTGCAATTTTGCAAGTTCTCCCACTTAGAAATCATGGAGGGGTCTGAAATTCACATTGTAGGTGCATTCCCACTTAGAGACAGAAATTAATAAAAAAAATTCAGGAAATCACATTGTATGATTTTTAAAGAATTCATTTGTCTTGCACTGCTGAACACAAGTATTTGAACACCTCTGGCTCTCAAAGACCTGTTATTGTGCCTTTAAAAAGTCCACCTCTACTCTCACTCATTAATCTAACTTAGTAGCACCTGTCTGAGCTCTTTAAAGATGCCTGTCCACCCCACAGTCAGTCAGACGCCAACTACTACCATGGGCAAGACCAAAGAGCTGTCAAAAGACACCAAAGAAAAAATTGTGGACCTCCACAAGGCTGGAAAGGGCTACGGGGCAATTGCCAAGCAGCTTGGTGAAAATAGATCAACTGTTGGAGCAATTGTTAGAAAATGGAAGAGGCTAAAGACGACTGTCAGTGTCAGGGATGCGGGTGTGACCAGAAGTGTGTGGACTGACACAGGGAAACGCAAGCTTCAGATATGGTATAAATAAGACAATTTATTAAGACTAACAATACAAACATAAACGCAGTGCACCAAACCCCAAGCTAACACAAATACATACAACAAGGTGAAACAAACCCAAACTGATAAAGATACACAGGTACATACACATATAGAGCACAACGTAGTCAGGCAGTCCGGGTCGATAACTATCGGGCAGGTAGGTACAGGAGGAGCAGGCGGAGAGAATGGTCAGGGTCACAAGCCAGGGATCAAACAGGAGAAGTCAGCAGAGGTCAGGATCAGGCAGGGTCGGCAACAAGTCAGGCAGGAACAGGAACAGGAATGCAGGTTACAGGGGCCCATGGAAAAACACACACCAAGGCACAGACTGCAGGTCTGGCCATCCCTTAAATACACCTGCAATCAGCCCCAGGTGATGGCTAATTGCCGAAGTGAACCCCTTGTTTATTGAGAGCACACGCTGGCCAGCCCTGGTACTGCAGCCCACAAGGCAGGTGAGTCCCACCACTATTGGCAAGTCCATTCCTGACAGTACCCCCCCCTCAAGGAGTGGCCTCAGGACGCTCCAAACAGTCCTAGCTGGGCAAAATGTTCCACCGCCCGGGTCCGGTGACTGGCGGGATATCAAAGACTGGCACATCGGGCTGGACACCGGACGGAGGCACTTTGAGCTGGACACCGGACGGAGGCACTTTGAGCTGGGGACACCGGACGGAGGCACATCAGGCTGGACGCCGGATCACCAGGCGGAGCAGCGGGCACCGGGCCACCAGGCGGAGCGGCGGGCACCGGGCCACCAGGCGGAGCGGCGGGCACCGGGCCACCAGGCGGAGCGGCGGGCACCGGGCCACCAGGCGGAGCGGCGGGCACCGGGCCACCAGGCGGAGCGGCGGGCACCGGGCCACCAGGCAGGGCGGCGGGCACCGGGCAACCAGGCAGGGCGGCGGGCACCGGGCCATCTGGCTCGACAGCGGGCATCGGGTCACCAGGTACAACAGCGGGCACTGGGTCATCAGACATTGGATCGTCTTGCTCGACCGCGGGCACCAGGTCATCTGGCTCAACAGCGGGCATCGGGTCACCAGGCACGACAGCGGGCATCGGGTCACCAGGCACGACAGCGGGCACTGGGTCATCAGGCATTCGATCGTCTGGCAAGACTGCGTGCATCGAGTCGTCTGGCAAGACTGTGGGCTCCGAGTCAACTGGCGGAACAGCGGGCATCGAGTCGTCTGGCAAGACTGCGGGCACCGAGTCAACTGGCGGAACAGCGGGCATCGAGTCGTCTGGCAAGACCGCGGGCACCGAGTCGTCTGGCAAGACCGCGGGCACCGAGTCGTCTGGCAAGACCGCGGGCACCGAGTCGTCTGGCAAGACAGCGGGCACCGAGTCGTCTGGCAAGACAGCGGGCACCGAGTCATCTGGCATAATAAGATCATCAGGCTGGATCAGTTTATCAGGCTGGATCAGTTTATCAGGCTGGGTGGAGACATCAGGCTGGGTGGAGACATCAGGCTGGGTGGAGACATCAGGCTGGGTGGAGACATCAGGCTGGGTGGAGACATCAGGCTGGGTGGAGACATCAGGCTGGGTGGAGACATCAGGCTGGGTGGAGGCATCAGGCTGGGTAAAGGCATCAGGCTGGGTAAAGGCATCAGGCTGGGTAAAGGCATCAGGCTGGGTAAAGGCATCAGGCTGGGTAAAGGCATCAGGCTGTATTGTGGGCGCCGAGGCACCAGGCTGCACCATGGAAGGCAGGTTCTCAGATGGGAGGCTGACCGGTTTGGATACTGGCAGGATGGTATTGGTTGGAAAGAACTTTCGCCTTTTCCTGGTTTTAGTTACCGGAGCACTGTAAGTAAGCGCAGGTTTGTAAACGGATGGAGCAGCTGGAGACAGAGAAGAGCTGGAGGATAGAACATGGAAAAACACACACCAAGGCACAGACTGCAGGTCTGGCCATCCCTTAAATACACCTGCAATCAGCCCCAGGTGATGGCTAATTGCCGAAGTGAACCTCTGGTTATTGAGAGCACCCGCTGGCAAGCCCTGGTACTGCAGCCCACAAGGCAGGTGAGTCCCACCACCATTGGCAAGTCCATTCCTGACAGTCAGTCTCCCTCGGACTGGGGCTCCATGCAAGATCTCACCTCGTGGAGTATCACTGATAAGAAAGGTGAGGAATCAGCCCAGAACTACAAGGGAGGAGCTGGTCAATGACATGAAGAGAGCTGGGACCACAGTTTCAAAGGTCACTGTTGGTAGAACACTACACCGTCATGGTTTTTAAATCATGCATTGCACGGAAGGTTCCCCTGCTCAAGTCATCACATGTCCAGGCCCGTCTGAAGTTTGCCTATGACCATCTGGATGATCCAGAGGAGGCATGGGAGAAAGTCATGTGGTCAGATGAGACCAAAGTAGAACTTTTTGGTCTAAACTTCACTCGTCGTGTTTGGAGGAAAAAGAACGATGAGTTGCATCCCAAGAACACCATCCCTACTGTGAAGCATGGGGGTGGTAACATCATGCTTTGGGGGTGCTTTTCTGCAAAGGGGACAGGGTGACTGCACTGTATTAAGGAGAGGATGAATGGGGCCATTTATTGTGAGATTTTGAGCAACAACCTCTTTCCCTCAGAGCATTGAAGATGGGTCGTGGCTGGGTATTCCAACATGACAACGACCCGAAGCACACAGCCAGGATAACCAAGGAGTGGCTCCATAAGAAGCATATCAAGGTTCTGGAATGGCCTAGCCAATCTCCAGACCTAAATCCAATAGAATATCTTTGGAGGGAGCTGAAACTCCGTGTTGTTCAGCGACAGCCCCGAAACCTGACAGATCTAGAGGAGATCTATGTGGAGGAGTGCGCCAAAATCCCTGTTGCAGTGTGTGCAAACCTGGTCAAGAACTACAGAAAATGTTTGACCTCTGTAATTGCAAACAAAGGCTTCTGTACCAAATATTACCACTGATTTTCTCAGGTGTTCAAATACTTATGTTCAGCAGTGCAAGACAAACAAATTCTTTAAAAATCATACAATGTGATTTCCTGAATTTTTTTTTTAAAATTCTGTCTCTCAGAGTGGGAATGCACCTACAATGTGAATTTCAGACCCCTCCATGATTTCTAAGTGGGAGAACGCAAAATCGCAGGGTGTTCAAATACTTCTGTTCCTCACTGTATCTAGTGCACTCTATACTTTAACCCTATTAATATCAGATTTTTTAGGGGTGTCTACTTTCGAAAAAGGGACAATTGGGTGTTTTCAGACTGTTATGGCATTGATTTGCTATGCTTTATACCAGAAATTCATGTGGGTATAGTGTTTCAGTTTCAGACAAAACATCTGTCAGGGACCATCGCGATGCATGGGTCTGCACATGCGTAGGTGACTGTCAAGACATGCAGGCAGCAGGGCACTAGGACCCAGGCGTACCCGTCACCTATGACGGTGCTGGGCAGGCACTAGGACCTAGGCTGCGCCTGTCAGGTGCAGGACGGGCTACTTAAACCAGCCCTGCACAGACACAAGTTGCCGTATGGTCTGATCTTATTCCTGTATTGCCGTTGTTTTGAGATTCAATGCTGACCTGCCTGGACCTGACCCCTGCTGACTTCTCCTGTTCTGACCCCTGGCTAAGTTCGACCTCTCTTTTGGATATCCCTACCTGATCTGAACTACTGGTACCGACCCCGGCGAGTGACCTGACTATTCTTCTGCCTGCTGCCTTGTACTACGCTGACCCCTCTGTTGCCGACCTGGCCTGTTTGACCACGCTGTTGCTCAGCCATCCATCCGACCCACACGGATTAGTCTCCAGACCTGTCTGCTTCTTCACGTCAGGCTCTCTACCTGTCATTACCTCTGGTGATTCCTCTACCTCAGGTGGGTGTACTCAGGGGCCGCGACCTGGTCACTGTCCACTCCAAGCCCATCCCCACCATCAGGGGCTCTGGTGAATAAGCGGACTGGGGCTTAGACTCTGCGCCCTGGGGAATCCTGTCCTGGGGACTGCTAGAGTACACCAGGTGGTCCATAACAACATCAAACCTTGCATTAAAGGGGTATATACAAACCAGTACTGAAATGGTCAAAAAGCCGCACACAAGGTAGCTATATCCAGCCTGCTATAAATAATTTGCATATGACTGTATATTTTTCATGGTGTGTAACCTAGATTGTATAGCAGGTACATATTTCGCTAACCTCTGCAGAACAATGCTGGTAGAAGTGACAACCCATTATATACTTTTTGAAAACTCTACCATAAACTAAAGTTTTAGTTAGTTTATATGCCTCTAACATTCACATGCAGAGGTCTTAATTTTAGTTCCTGTTTGCAGTCACTCCTTCCTCTTAATCTTGGTGTACTGACGTAGGTTTAAACCAGATCAACAAAGCACAGCTTTATAATGTAATACAGCTTCCCCTATTTACTGTAATGTGAGTTGTGCTGTCAGTCAACATTATAGAGAGCATTAACACAGCTTTTTGATAATAAAATTTTGCGATTGTAGAAAAATACCAAAGGGTCCATCAAGTTGGTATTTACTTTTTATATCAGTTGTTTTTTGTTTGTATGTGTTTTGTTTTTTGTTTTTTGTTTTTTTGAGTATAGATATTTGCTCATTTCAAGCATGATTACTTTTTCTTACTAATCATTTGCTGTTGATTAATTAAGATCTAGACCTTGAATGTCAAACAGGTAACTGTGCCAAGGAAAAAAAACACAGGGGTTGATTTACTAAAGCGCCTAGTTGGGGAATAGACGAACGCTCATGGACGTAGTCTACTTTCCCATGGACACTGTCTACTTTTAGACGGAGAAAAGATTTACTAAAGCATGCATCAACAAATAGACGCAAATGCGAATTTACTAACGGACACAAAAAAAAGAGACCGTCTAAAAAAAGCTCACGTCCTAGAACCAGGTGCAAAGTAGAGAAAAATATTTTTTTTAACATGATCACATACAAATTTTGTTTCCCAGATATCTGTATATATTAAAGAATACCTACTTCGAAAATATTATAAATGTGTGTGGCAAGTAAGATATTAAAAAAAAAATAGATCGGCAATTACTTCATGCAGTTTAAGTGTCTATGCAGTGATATAAGTGCGCAAGCCCAAATCAAAAAAAGTGCAAAATCGTATTTGCACTTTTATATTAGACCACGTCGTATAGTAAATGTTGTATAGTAAAAGTAAGTGTCAACTCACTTTCGTAAACAGCACCATTATTACCCAGGCTAATATTTATGTTTTCTATTTTTTTTTTTCTTCTATTTATTATTTTTTAGTTTGTTATCCTTTATTATTATTATTGTCTTCTACAGTTTTACATGATATTTATTCATATTTATATATATTTGTTATATTTATATATCATCATATTTATTATATATATTATTATACATTTAATATGTCCTAGTATACGTCCATGATTGTAACTGTAGAACTGTTACTACTCAGATAAACATCCACATAGATATTCTAACTTTTTCCTCCCATTTATAATCTTTTGTAATCTGTGTTTCTTTGTTTCTTATACACTCATTTTCTTTTCTACTTTAACAAATGCTAGTACATTTTTTAAAGCATATATTCTCTGCATTATATATACTTGTGTATGTACTGTCATGTGCACTGATCATGCCCAGGAACTTAGCCATTTGAGACGTTTCTTTTTACACTGAGCATTCCCAGGGGCTTTAACTTTTGAGATATATTACCTAAATGGTGGTAAAACTGCACTTGTTGCTCAGCATCTAACAAAAATCTCAATCCAAACTTCCAGCTGTCTTCACGAACCATACACAAAACCAGTACTGAAGTAACATTAAAAGGAATACAAATTATAGGCTGTGTTACTAAATGAGGTGTGTTGGTTATATGTATCCCAATACAAAGGTTCATAATATTATCCCAAAAAAATGTGATATGTTTACTAACATAATCAATCTAAAATTTACTGAAAAAAAAGAGGGTGACATCGCTATTCCACAGTAATACACCAATAAATCAAAAATATCAATTAAAAATCCATCAACATAAATCCTTATGTAAGTAAGCAGCATGTTGTCAGTAATCATCTTGATCATGCATCTTTATCATGTATCTTCTCACATAAGTACAAGGAAAAATCACATGGCTCCCTGTACATAGTAGAGCGGAGGTGAAAACCATTAACCCCTGGGGTTTTTTTTCTGTTTCATTGGAATAGTGGTGTCACCCTCTGATATTTTTTCTTTATGATTTTTACACATATCACATTTTGGATAACATTATAATCCTTTGTATTGGGATACATATGACCAACACACTTCTGAATTTGCAACATAGCGCAAAACATTTGTGTCACATTTTAGGTATATTGATTGTTACACTGACCATGTCCAGGGACGTAGGGTTGGTTCGTACCACAGAAATACAATCTATGTGCATGTGACAGCACAGTGGCTAAGTGTTTAGCACTTCTCCCTAGTAGCACTAGGGTTGTCGGTTTGAATTCCAACCATGGCAATGAAGTTGCATGTTCTCCCTGTGTGGATTTCCTCACAAAGACATGCTGATAGCATATTTGGATTCTGTCTAAATTATCCCTAGTATCTGAATATGAATTTGGGACTTTAGATTGCAAGCTCCGTGAAGGCGGGGCCTATATAAGTGTCTGAAATAATGGATGTTTTTGGTTATGTGCAATCTGAGCTGGTTTTGAAGGGTTTTACATAAT